GGAGATTCCAAAAATAATATTATATACAGAGTGTTCCATTTGAAAAATCAAAGTTGCTACTGCTTTCTAATAGAAGCGGCAACACCGCATTGTCGAAAATATTTTAGTTGGCTAGAGAATGTCCGAATATGCCCTCCATTGAATTTTCAAAGTGATCCGTTGTCTGGTTCACCAGAAACGTCTAATGTGCCATCCACCGTGAATCAGCCTGTATGTTGTGTATTGCTTTTACCAACTTCATACAACATATCATACAAATATATAACTATACTTTTTTTGACGCTAGTGTGATGATTAGATTTATAGTGGAGGTACCTAGTATTAGTTTTCTTTTGATAAACACTTTCATCAAGAATAATCATCTATTTTTTTATCATAACATCGAGAAATGGAAGTTGATCATGAAACCCTTTCACACGTTGAAAGGTAAGACCTCGTTAATCCATAGCTCCCACATGTTTAGACTTCTGAGGGTTGTCCTTCGTAGGGGTGCGACAGCTGGTTATCGGAAAAACATATTTTTAAACAGACTTTTTTTATATCGATTTTATCGTGGGTTCTCTTGAGTTCAAATCATTTAAGAAAACGTTGATAACATCTGGGGTATGGACCCAGATAACGAATACTTCATCAACATATCTTCAGCAAATCTTTGGACCATTCTGGTCAGTTTCGAAGTAGGTTTCCTCAAAATGCCTCATGGAAATGTTACTCAGAATCGGTGACAAAGATGAGCCCACATAAAAGTGACTTTCCGAAATATGGAAGGACACGGAATGAATTACTTCGGGTAATATGTTATAACCCTGTGATAGTTTTAGTTTAAATTTAATTTTCAATATCTTGATCTTGATTGTTATTATGTTGATGATAACTATAGTGATCTAACACAAACATTGTGATCCCTCATCGAATTCGCAGAAGGGATTTTCGTTAATTATGGATTTACGAAAAAACAAAAACATCCCTGTGAAAGCTTTATTAATCACTCCATAGCTTTGAAAATAGTTTCGTCACCTTCAATTTCAAAATACTTTTCATGTGTTTAGGTTTGAGACACGTTTTCTAAACTTTTGCTTCTGTTATTGATATATTCAGAAAAAGATCACTAAATTAATGAAGCACACATTTCCTGATTCTTAGCAATGAATAATAAATACCTCTTGCGATAAAGTAAACAGCTTCATGTAAAAATCATATTCATTCATTCCATAAGAAAGTTACTAATGTGACCAATAACAGAGTAAGAGGGCAAGTACACTTGATATTCTGTGGTTCAAAATAATGACAGTTGTTTTGGATAGAGTGGACTTTTTCGTCAGTGAAGATATTTTTTCTCAAACCCACGACTGATCAAGTTTTTCCACTTACCATCTCAGTCATGAGTCACCTTTATGATTTGAGATATTGTTATTTCTAGATTAGCAAATTCTCGTTTCAATACTAGTTTTATCATTTCATGTTTGACATACGGTGTTCTAATCAGTTTGACGAATTTCATATGAAAATAACACAAACACATACTCCAATCCCGGAGTAGGTGTTTGTGGAGTTGATTACAGACATTGTCTGCAGGAGACGCGGTGGTCATCCTACCGAATCAACTATAAGCGGTACTTCTGACTGGTTGAAATGAATTTTGTTTATTCGGAATACTCAGACAGTTCATTCCGTGTAAAATGACTAACCCGTCACTCTCGAGGAGCTATTACTCCGAAACCGGTCTCTTGCAACGGATCTTCCAAATAAAATACGTTGCAAAGGTGTACGATGTTTTACTTNTCAATTTTCACGTCATTAGAACAATTCATTGTTTTCCCCTCACAAATTTACACGAATCGAATGATTATTCACGTACTTAGCAGTGCATTCGACATATTCTATTAAATCATTGATAGTATATTATTTAACGAGGGTATAATGATGGCTATTATTCACGAGGTGAAGTTTACGGCCTCGAGCCGCAAGCGAGTGGCCTAAATACAATAATAGCCATTATATGCGAGTAGAATACTATACTTTATCCACGACTAATGAAAAGTTTTGTTGAAGTTTTTTTTGTTGGAAAATTTTGTTACATTACATACATATTTTTAGAAACACTATTATTTTACTCTAACAAATATTTCATACAATACATTATTGTTCATATGTAAACAGTACATAGTTATTGGAAATTATAATAATCGTATAATATCTCATAATAATTAACACAGAAATTTATGTATTCAGCTCAACAAAATCGCGTATCTGATCTTACAAGATGATATTTATATTACAAAGTTATTTAAAGTTATTGATAATTCTAATATTCGAGCAATTGGTCAAGTTAGTCGGAGGAAATGAATTAACATCAAAAGTAATGTTTTGGTGACTTATCGAAAAATTTGAATTAGATGTACATGGATTCGTTCGTTTGAATTGAAGGCGATATTTTGTTGGCCGTAATGGTTTTATTTTTGACGGATTCGTCTATGTAGCCTTCTGCTACTGCTACTGCTGTGGACTTCCATCCACCGTGTCTTTCGAGAGCCGTTATATTACTGCCTGCCGATTGTTTCTAGCAAAATAATATAATATTACATCAGCTGNGACCCAGATAACGAATACTTCATCAACATATCTTCAGCAAATCTTTGGACCATTCTGGTCAGTTTCGAAGTAGGTTTCCTCAAAATGCCTCATGGAAATGTTACTCAGAATCGGTGACAAAGATGAGCCCACCGCCATTTCAAATTATTATTGATGATAATCATCGTTGAATTGGAATTTTCTTTTATTGATACGTAATTTCCGAAGCTCCAAAATAGCTTCTACATGCAATTTTGTTCTATTTTTCAGAAGACTTTCATTTTCTGATTTAAATCTTAGCATCTTAGGGTTTTATCAACCGGAACATTGGTGAACAAACTCACAACATCGAAACTCACGAGGAGATCTCTGTTTCTGATTTGTAGTTCATTGAGTTTTGCAATGAAATCTGAAGTATTCTTCATGAAACTGTTTCTATTTGAAGACAAAGGTTTCAAAAATTTGGAAAAGATATTCCGCAAGTTTTTGACAAGGAGATCCGATTGAACTGACAATTGGTGTCAAAGGACAATTTTGTTTTGTATTATTTGTGAATTATGAAAATATACAGGTTCATTATAGTGGAAACTTAGTCGAGTGCGTTTTGTTTTTGTACTTGGCTGAAGTTCTGTATATACAGGGCTATTCAAATTCGTTTCTGTACATGGGGATCTCGTAAACCATAAGAGATATAGTGTCGGTTGAATGTTGGCAAAGTTGTGTATTTTAGAGACTTATTCAATGATGTGAAGGAATCGAGTATAGCTCTTTTGGTTCTGGAGATATACAGGAAAAACAAAAAAATCCCAAATTATTTTTTTGCCTATATCTTCTTTATTCGCAGACATATTGAAAATCTGTCCACATTTTGCTATTGGCACTTGATGTGGGCTCTCGGAATATATCCATGAATTTTTTATACAGGGTGTCATCTGACTTGGGCCACCCCCANGCATTCATTAGGCCAAATGGAACTTTGAGATATTCGTATTTGCCCTCCGGGGTGATGAAAGCAGTGATTGGAACAGACTCTTTCGAAAGTTTTATTTGGTGGTATCCTGATTTCAAGTCCAGTATAGTAAAGAATTTCTGACCGACTAACCTGTCAATCAAATCCTCAATGATAGGCAAAGGGTAATTTTCTTTGATTGTTTGTTTATTAACCCCTCTGTAATCGACACACAAACGAGTATCGCCATTTTTTTTCTTCACCATTATCACAGGACTTGCAAACGGAGACTGGGAAGGCCTGATAGTATTACTCTGTATTAATTCGTTGATCAACTCTCGAAGTTTACATTTTTCAGAATCAGATAACCTATATGGCCGATAAATAATAGGAGTGTCTGTCTTCAGTCTGATGGACATTTCGATACCAGCTATCGTGCCTAATTTTCCTGTATTGCTTGTAAAACAATTTGGAAATTCTTTTATAAGTTCTCGTATTTCATTTTGAGCTGACGTCTCTGCCACATCAATGTGGACGACCTGAGGCTGAACTTCAATTGAATTCACGGTCAGAGCGTAACTGAAAGTTAATCGAGAGCCAATCCGCGAATAAGTAATTCCAGGATCCTCACTAACATTTCTTTTAATATGCAGAATGTTTTAAATTCAAGTTAATGACAAATTTTTTTTTTCAAAAAGCTAATTTATCAAATGCAGTAACTTTTGGCCCTTTCTACATTTGTATTCATTTGAAAATTTAATATTCTGTTTTTTTTTTAGATCTGTAGAAGTTAACAATTCTAAATAATAAAAAACTTAAATACTTAAATACTTAAACAAAATTAGTTTTCACTATATTTCAATTATCTTCTCATCATATAGAATATATCAATGGAAAATTTATATTAATACCCCCAGTCCGACGCCTATTAATATTATCTCAAACGTTATGTCAGAAAAAACATCGAGCAGTTCTTTTGGCGGTATTTCTTTGTCGGTGTTTTCGCGTTCTTTGTCGCATATCCCTATTTTAATGGCTCGTTAGTGGCGTCCTCAAGGGATATAGAGGGTAGACATATCTCACTGATTTTGTGGGTGAATTGCAGTGCTATTTGCTTGAGACAACTAAGTTGCTTTCTTTGATGTAGCGACATGTTTGCATTCTTGAAATTCTTTTACTCTCAGACAATACTGAACGAACTATAGTAGATAATTTATGCGGACAATATCCCAACAAAAGTCTATTTTGGTCTCTATTTTGGTGTCGATAGAAATCACTACATAGTATAAAACAAAGTCGCTTCCCGCTGTCTATCCCTATGTATGCTTAGATCTACGCAACGGATTTTGATGCGGGTTTTTTAATAGATAAGAGTGATTCATGTATATAACATGTATAATATAGTAGAGAAACACTGATAAATTCACAGGTTCCTAATGTGATGTCGTGAATAAACACACCTTAAATTCATCGTGCATTCAATATAGATCAATACGACCCTTCACAGCATGTGATCCAAATGAGGGTCAAATGATTCAAAATGCAGGGTCATAGCGGTTGTGGTGATACCGGCCGCAAGGCCGGTGGCGTTTGCCTATAAATAGCGCATCGAAGGCCGCGCTTTACCCTATAACACTTCATGCAGCACCCTATAACAGCAGTCGCACGCATTCATATGTTTATTTAGATCAGCATTGCCCCTGCACAGAGCCGTGACGAATCGCTAGTATCATCTGAAATTGAATAGAAACTGTAATGTTGTCGATAATTCAATAGAGGGTTTCTGTTTTTTTTTTCAATGGGTCGTTGATGTACAGTAGACAAAGTATGTGGATCCCTTGGGCATTCCAGTGTTAATGGTAAAGGTATTAGAGAAAACCATGGATGGTCATTCGTGAGGAAGAATTTTTGAAAAAGCCAAAAAGTCATAAGTACTTCTTTCTTCACCATGTTGAAACGTCGAAGTTTTTAGTAATATAGTGAAGCATCTGTCAGTATTGTAATAAATTGATGGATCTAGCCGTTTTATTAATAAGTTTGAAAATGTCCTTATAGGACGAAACTGCAGTAACGTTAGTTACAAATAAAAGTGTTAAAAACATAGAAAGTTTCAATTCTCTTTTTGACAGTATTTATTTTACTATTTTTCTCTATTTTGGGTAGGGGCTTAACTCTAGGTCTTTTACTCGAAGTAGTGGGACTTTTCCAAAACTAGATAGAGACCAGGACCAGAGGCTACGTAGACATGTTTCGATTATTTTTGTATGAGGTTTTATTGAAGTTTTTTTTCATCCTTCCTTTGACAGTGTTTCACATTCCTTGTATAATGAAGGTGAACAGAACAATCTTAGCTTCATCAATGAAGTTAAAATCACATATTATTTGATACATAGCATGATTCACGGTGAAATAATATAATGGAATGAAAAATACTTTTTCAATTACAGGTGTGCTACCGGCGAAAATTGGCCAAGCATAATGTTGTCATGCATCAAAGGAAGATACTGTGATCCAAATTCCGGGAAATCTGGAAAACAATGCGGACACAATATTGCATACGCCTACTTTGTGTCTTTCATTTTCTTCTGTTCTTTTCTGGTGAGTTTTTAGTATATTGTAATTAGTGGGTATAGATCATGTCGTTCTAAAGATTATGTTGCTTCTGAAATTGAAAACACCTTTTCGAAGACACACAATGTTTAGACAATTGGTATTTTTTTACAATTATATAGCGGACGAATAAGTTAAATGGTATGAATATCAACTGACAATACTCATTTGTCGAATGAAAAATTCGTCTCTGATGTTATTTCAGAAACAAATTTGCTAACGCTTTTCTCACAGTATAAGAAGATATATTCTTTCCTGAAATGAATGCATTCTCTCTCCACATTCACTACACGTATTCATCTATCTTGTTCATAGTATCAGACGATTATGAGAAGAATTTGAAATGGCTGAAATATTCACACCTCACTTCCCATAAGAGTTTGGTGAAGCTACGTGATTTCATTCAGACATATGATGTGGCCCAAGCTCGAGGTAATGACTCGAAGGCAGAGTCTACCGTCAAGGTCAAACTCCGTCATCAAAGTCTTTTGGCACGCGAACAGGTCAAGGTAGTGTATAATCGTTCAAGGTCATATGTCGTGCACCTCGCCCAAGGTCACGTGACGTCATTCAAGGTCAAAGTCGACAGGTGGGGAAGGTTCAGCACCCTATTCACGAAGTCAAGCCATACCAACACGACCAGTGTTAGAAGGCCATTTTCATGCTCAGTAGTACATTTTGTGTCAGAAAATAATATATTGATACAAAAAACAGTAAGACGTATGTTGTATGGTTCTCACCATCCAGTTATCTAATTGGTCTAATTGGGTTAGGTCTACTTTGTGATAGTTTCAATCTTCGCGTTCGCGACATTGTAAATAACACAGATGCGCACCAAGGCAACTGTCATGACATAAGAAATCAAAAATCGTCCACTTTTTCGACCTTCACATTTTTCAAATGTTTCTATAGTTATTCTGCTATTTCAGGTGGAAACAAACTCAACTAAATACAAATCATGAAAATCAGTCATGCTAATCTTGATATGAGTGATGAAACTAACACGATTTTGCGACTTCATATTATGTATTAGATTTTTTAATTTTTCAATAATTACTATTCTGATCACTGGAACTCTCTATTTTCTCTTTTATTAATCAACAGACAGATATCCTGTGCTTTAGCTGCATGTTCTGGATAATGCTTTTTTTGTTTGCTTAAGGAGAGAGTAACAAGTCTATATAAAAGCTACCTTTATTGTGGACAATGGTGATATCTGTCGTGAATATATCTGGAAGTGTTTTTTTTTTCTGAACATATCAAATTTCAGACTCTCATGGTAACTTCTTATGGCATTTCAGTTTCTTTCTTGTTTTTAATTTTTTAGGTTTAATTTTGTCATATTTTACAGTTTGTCTTAGAATGTTGTCATGTATTGAAAATGTGATCATCATAAATGCATAGTTTATGAAAGAGTTGAGTTGTTATTCGAAAGCGATAATTCATAGTACTTTCGATGTTTTTAGTTTCATTTAAGATTGCATTAGGAATGCTAAGCATTGTATTCTTCTAATTCCGTTTTTGAATCGTAAAAAATAGCAAAAAATACGGAGAAGTAGTTCGATTTTTTCTAAATTCAACAAATTCAACAATTAATAAAATTCATGAAAATTCATCACCACTAACAAATAATATTCAATCGAAAATAGTTTTTTGGTCAGTGAAATTTCGAATATTCAATTGAATTTTGAAATTTTGAACTTTACAGATGCTGAATTTGTTTGTTGCTGTTATAATGGACAATTTCGATTACCTTACGAGAGATTCTTCCATCTTAGGTGCACATCATTTGGATGAGTTTGTCAGAATTTGGGCGGAATACGATCCGAACGCAACGTAAGTATATGTAAATTTACATGAACTATACATAAAACTTTCCAACTAGTACCATTTGGACATCATGTTCTGTGAAATTGATTTCTGACTTATACTGAAACAACTGGCGATTTTTGTGATTTCAGTTTATTGCGACTGTGTTTGCAAAACTGTTCAGTACTAATTCTGTAGTTTTCTGATACTGATGATACAAAAATTTTCACCCTTCTCACTTCATTATTTTGCGGATCTCATGGATACTATAGAAGACATTTTCAAAATTAAACATGTTAACATTGTATCATTATTGTAGTATCCCTGGTGATAACAATAAAAATTGTTGAAATATTAAAATCAATGTTATAAGTGTATTCTAATGTGTACCTACCCCGAAGGTTTATTATTTTTTTACAAATGATTGATATGAAATAAATTTACAAATGCAGTTCGACATTCGGAAAAGAGAAGGACAATTTTATCGATTGCTGTTGCTCATTGAAAAAAATTTGGATTTTCTTACGAATTTTGCCGTGTAGGAGGGTTATAGCCTTCTAGAGTTCCAAAAAATTGCAACTTTTCAGCCTCGTCTCCACCGATGAAAAATATAGATAAACACATTGCATCACATCCACTTTTCATTGAACCTTTATCATTATTTTTCAGTTCAATAGTCAACAATTTTCATACAAAAAACTATATTTGAAATTGATTCGTTTTCTGGTTTTCTACTATTCAAAACTCGTATAATTTGAATCCAGAATCCTTCCCCATGTAAAATATTTTTTTTAAACTCTTGACCTACGGCACTTTTGATGAGGAAATAATACAGAAATCCTATAAATTTCAGTATTCCATTCAGAGAGGTGCTGCTGAAATACTTTTCTTTGGAAAATCATTTTTCTTATCTAACTGATAATTATACATGAGGTACATTCATTTGATCCTAACAACATTAGCATTGGATCTCCTTTTCCGTTGAAAAAAGACATATTTTTACCCTTTCAGTATGTTTGAAATTATTTGATGACAAAACCTCAATGATACAATTTGACCACTCTCTTTGAAATCCAACAACATCCATACTGCATCATTTACAAAATAGAACTGTCAAGATTATTCTGCAATGCATAGGTACTCAATTTGTTCATTTCGCGATGTATAGTCCATCTTAATGTATTTCGTAAATCCAGTTTTCGCTTGATATAGTGCCAAAAAACATTTGAAGATCATGTTGAACTTTGCTAATCAAAATAAGCTGACATCAGTTAACATGGGAACTACAGAAATATACAAATATGAACAGGAACTCACGAACGAAAAACAATTGGAACACATGAATAAGAAAACAATGAGAATGAAAATATAGCAGAAACTACAGGAATAACAAAACTATAAGGAATATCAATTATACTAGAAACAACAACAAAAGCAATGAGAACTGGTCTGAGAGTTAATAAAAGATATTTTAACAATATTATCTAGTTGACAGTGAAAATAAATAAGTAACTGTTATCTATTATAATCTTAAGGCACTACTTGATATCTTTTTATCGAAACGAATGTCACTCAATCTTTAGAAATTATTTTAGACATTAATTTAGCAAGTAACTGGAATAACCTGAACTCTAGCTATTTGCTGAGTTATACTTTTTCCTTATGACATAACATTTATTTCGGTGTTGCAATTTTTTTTTCGATTGGCAAAATGTTTCCTGAGTAGACATTAGTTCAACGTATATTATCCAACATAACACAAATATAATCTTTCGCAGTACTCGTTTGACTCTGTTTTTTAACCTTCGGTATTTTTCCTGGCAGGCTGGCTTCAGTTTACTCAAACAGAATCCTGTTGGAATATCTTAATAACGAATATTGTAATTACTTGCATCTGCATATACATATGTAAACTTATTTTTATAATACCCATCTCATATCAATAAATTTTTCAATGGTAACGACATAAAAAATATGAAATCAGAATTAATGGTGAACAACAATGTTGTATGCATTTTTCAACGTGATACCTGAACCAATGACAGAACTAAAAAATCACGAAATCACTCAGCAAGTAGGTATATCAATTTAAAAAATAACAGCATATGATTACCATTTTTCCATTCTTCCTATTTATTTTATATATTCTGACCATTTTATTATTTATATTTCATACTGTATTATGGTAAGTTGAACTTATTTGTTCAATTATCTGATTTACATTTTTGTGATCTATTTTATGCAATTTCATGATCACAAAGGGCCGATAAAAATATATATCTATCCATTAACTGAGAACATTCGAAACTGTTAGTCAATTTTTTTATTGTCATGAAGGTAAAACACTTTGGCAATTAAAAGTTATCATAATTACTGTCCTTCATTATCACTCATTAGACAAAAATATTTATGTTTCAGAGGAAAGATTCACTACACAGAAATGTATGACATGCTGAAAAATATGGATCCTCCTTTGGGGTTTGGAAATAAGTGTCCTAATAGACTGGCTTATAAAAAATTGATCAGAATGAATATGCCAGTAGATGATGATGGACGAGTCAATTTTACAACAACATTTTTTGCCCTCGTTCGAGAAAATCTCAGTATCAAAATGAGAGCAGGTATGTTTTACTGACCCATATCAAGTGCACTACGAAAAAGTTTTTTGTTTGTGAAGCAATGTTCATTCGAATGGACAAAACCCAATTTGAATTCGAATTGAGTTAATAGGATCATCAATACCTAAACTATAAATGGTGTGTTTAAGGGCTCATACGCGGTGACCAACGCTAACATTTCAGTTCCAGATCGTGACACATAAATCAGTATATTTCAAAAGTTTCAGTTCGCATTTACTCCCGTGAAACCGTACTTCAGTTTTGATCACTTTTGATCACAGTTTTGCAGTTGGTTACCCTCTTCATGGGCAGATGGGGCGTTGATAAACATGTTGTTTGTCGTTTGCTTCAGCCTAGTTCGAGGAATGATTCTCTGAAAGAAATTCGATTTTCAGTTATAGGAAATCATCGACTTCATGTTGATGATAGACGGTACCTCGCACTAACGAGTGGCTAAACAGCTCGAAGCCGGTCTGCAAGTGTGTTCCAATAATTGAAAATCGATTTCGGCAGTTGTATTGCCAAACACCATACGCAGGAATAATTTCAGTGCAGAATCCTGCACTGACACCTGTTGGATATAATCCAACGCCCTTCGTGGTATTAGCCAGGGGAGTAGTTGTTTTCTGATAGGTATCATGATAATTTGTTTGATCACTGTATATCGGACACGAAGGATCAAACCAACAAACTTTAAAAATCCATTTCAAAAATATTTTATTGTGAAATCATCACACAGATGATTTCAAAATCTGTAACAATTGTTTCAGCAAAATCTTCTCCAAGTGTGAATGACACTCTGCAGTATAATAGTCATGCATGAAGGAGCCATTGTAAAGAAATACTTGTTGCGGTTTGGTGAATTATCTCCATGAAAATTTCTCAATGAAACATTTTCAATATGTTTATCATAATTTATCATATGTTACCACTGAGAATTTGAATATTATCGCTTTATTGTCGTAATGGTTAGGTGAGCAAAATGGAAACCGCTATAAACTCCCCAAAGCATAGACTACTGACAGTTAATTGCTGAGCTGAAATGAAAAATAATAATAATGATACTCTGTTCAATTTTTTGTCAAATACAATTTGTAAAGGATCAGTCAGTTACTTGGTTCAAATTTACGAACGTAAGAAATATACCTAAGTATAAGAATAAGTAACACTGTGATAAAAATACATATACAGATAATGAACACAAATTGTTGCTCGTCACAAGGGTGTCGCCAGCTTATGACTAAGGGGGTGGCCATCTAGCGTCGAGTAGCAATACTAGGTTTCACAAGGATTGTAGTCGATTTATTCAACTGTAGGCTGTAGGTGTTTTTTATGAACACTCACACTTACAGATGGCATTTTCCACAAAACTAATTAAAATTGTATGTTCGTAACAATAACTTCTACTTCAGGTATGTCGAATACAAATTATACAAAACTAACGTGAATTCTGGTGAACGGCTGTCGTAGAAAGAAATGCAATGCACACAACACACACACACACACACCGTACCTATCTCCTACCTACATATTTTTACACTGTTTAATAGCAAATCTGATATAGTCGTGATGATAATGGCGGCGATTTTAAAAACGGATGTCAAAATCTTAATGTTATTCTGAATATTTTAGTACTTTCTACAACATACATTATGAGGAGCAAGAAACAATAGAAACCACTAAACCTTTATAATTGGTTCCGAAATGGTCGATAATATTTCTTGTCGATTGGTAGAGGTTTGAATTTTCACAATATAGACACTCATCAGCAGACGATTCAGTTTTCAATCGACACCCATTTTCTATGTATACCTATGGAAATTTATTCATCCGATAGTTTACAATAGGTGTAAATCATATTCTGATGATACTGAAAATACTGATATTCTGGCAATTTTTCCCAATATCGGGGATAAAAACAAATTTTAATAAATAGCAAATATTTGAACAATGTGGAGGACTATAAACTCAAATCTTCTTTGATGTACTATTAGAAAAATTCTTAAAAGTTTAACTTTTCATTGATTAATAATTATTCATAATACAAATGATAAAAATTTAAAAAATATTACATTTTTCAGTTTTCACATAAGAGGCTACCCTCAACACGCTAGAATATGATCGAGGCATTACAAATATAGTGGGGTGTTAGGCCCAGGGGTTGGTTCTCAGTTTTTTGTGTTTTTCAACTCTAATTGAGATCAGATCATGACAGGTTTAGCAGTCATACACAATTTTAACATACCTATGGGGTTTTTTTTTCATGAAGAGAGAATTGAGAAACTGATATATTGCCATTTTTTTTCAAATTCGGGCATGAAAATAAATTTTAATGAACAGATACTGAACTAGTGCGAATATTTGATTGAATAAGGTTTCACCTGAATCATCACAAAATGTAGTAGTTTTCACCAAGAGAAATTCATCTGTTATATTTTAGTTAGTTAATATTTTGTGAACGTAAAAATAAAAGAATAAAATTACGTTTCAGGATTCAGGTGAATCGGAAATCAGGAAATCCCTTTCAAATAGAAGTGTGCTAAAATGTCATCGACTTTTTCACAATAATTTTTGTTTTTTCCAAAAACACACATATTTTTAGTGAAATCAAAATCACTCAAATACTTTAAGGAATCGGAACCTTACGTTATATTAACTTTTTATTCGGATATGACCTCGTTTAGGTTGATTCGCGAATATGAAAACTTGGGTTATTTTTCAAAACTGTTTGAGGTTTCAGATGTTTAGGATATCATCAGTTGGATTTTTAATCTTAGTCTTTCCTCGGTACAGATGACTGGCATCTTAGGTCTATGTTAACGTTTCGAAAGTGTGTACCCCCAACCCTGGACTGAATAACATAAACCTCTGAAATTCCAGCCACCCGGGCGAAACGTTAGGAAAAATTTCAATGGACGAAGGCTCAAGAATTGTCAACCTTGAACTGTTATATTTGTGAAACTGAACAAAGTACCAAAACTTGTTTTATAATTTTATTTTGTGCCGCAATAGGTAGATAGGTGGGACATTTGAGATATTGATGAAACAATCAAATCATTAATTGCAATTAGCGAACTAATTTGAGAAACAAATCATTTCACTGATTCATGAACCCAATTCTGCATCTCTTCACAGGTATTTGGAAACATTGCGGAAGCACCGAACGAATCCATTGACAGACACAATAATTTTCGAAATTTCATACAGGGATTGATGTTATTATTCAGGTGAGTGTAACGTTATATAAGAATAATATTCAATTATAAAACGATAGCAGATATTTACTTGGTTTGGTTTTCATGTGATATTTTAGATATTTCCAGAAATCGACACTACTCACATACACACAGGGGACATTTGAACGAAAGCGATGTCTGATTCGCTTTGTGGGAAAATGATGTCTCAACTTTCCTCAATAAATAGTATGAAAATAAAAATTGATATGAGCTAACAACAAAAAGAAAAAAACAATATTTCAAAAATAATCCAAATGAGCTCCTGTTTCTGTTTCTCGTAAATTTTAGGCAAAGGTAGATATTATATGACTGAAGGAATTATATAGGGCGTTGTACTACTATGATTTTTGAATTCTCTCAATGCTTCAAAAGGTAGATTTTTGCTCCCGAAACAATATTCCAATGAATTGAAGAAAATCTTCAAGACGCTCTGAGCGGTGACATGACATTCAATTTGAATCGTTGAAGATTATATTCATTTGGTAATGTTCTCTGAACGTTTATTTTATGAGGGCAACTGAGTTCTTCTTGGAATATCGAGTTGAAATTCAAAGTGACGAGCAACGTTAATATCCTAAAACATATTTTTACACTGTTTAATAGCAAATCTGATATAGTCGTGATGATAATGGCGGCGATTTTAAAAACGGATGTCAAAATCTTAATGTTATTCTGAATATTTTAGTACTTTCTACAACATACATTATGAGGAGCAAGAAACAATAGAAACCACTAAACCTTTATAATTGGTTCCGAAATGGTCGATAATATTTCTTGTCGATTGGTAGAGGTTTGAATTTTCACAATATAGACACTCATCAGCAGACGATTCAGTTTTCAATCGACACCCATTTTCTATGTATACCTATGGAAATTTATTCATCCGATAGTTTACAATAGGTGTCATCGTTGAATCTGAATGATTCAATACTATTGATATCAACTAGAGATTGAATTATTGACTGGTTTGTGATGGAACAGTAAAAAGCTTCAAACACTTCAATACACTCCATGTTTTCAAATATATTGGATTACCTTTTGACATTTGGTTTTTATGATGATGAGTTAAAACAGTTCATCACAAGAAACTGATATAATTGAAAAAGTACTCATGAAAAAGAGCTTCATATACTGAAGATTTTCAATACTCGAATAAAAAACTACTATTAGTCGATGAGGCAACCATGAAATGGGGTGAATGGGTTTTTTTAACTCACTTCCAATTATAAATAACTATTTCTATCAAATTTCAGCTGAAGAAATGGATCAAGCTGATGAAGAACTGAAAGTGACGATCAGAAATATTTGGCCTCTTCAAGCCAAAAATATGGTAGATCTTCTTGTTCCACCAAATGAGCTACTCAACAGTGGCAAACTTACTGTTGGAAAAATATATGGTGGACTTCTGATTTTGGAGAGCTGGCGTAGTACTAGATTTGGTCAAATGATGCCAACAGGGTTACCAGTAAGTACTTCGGTCATCTTAAATTACTATCTTCTGGATCTTTCTGAAAGTTTTTGAGACTGCACCCTCAATATGAACTGAAGCTTTAACAAAAACTCAAATTTTCGTGTTGGCTTATTACTGTTCGATGAATTGAATATATTAACGAATAAAAGCATGACCAAAAAAATTATTATTTTATTTGATATTTTATATACCTTGATGTTTTTTTAGGTTTTTGGCTGTCCACAATCTGAAAAAATGAATGAATATAATTTAACAGAGAATCGGTTTTCAAGTGTAAAAAATTATTATTTTATTTGATATTTTATATAC